ACTTCAGCCCCCAGCATAGTCCAGGTTTCGGTGGATTCATACCTTCAGAGCCCAGGAGACATTCGTGAAGCAGCCCCATGGCCTGGTACTAAGGACACAGACTCCATGACTCCCAACCACACTCTGGCCGATGGAGGCTAGAGTCACGGTGCCCTTGTCACTAACCTATGGTGTCCTTGTGTGAGGAGCAACTGGCCCCAGGGATCCCATCAGCTTTAAACTTGAGCTATGTCCTAACTGGACACCCGTTTGTGGTAAATGATCACAATACTGGCCCCAAATGAATCCCACCGTCCTGGGTCCCCTTTTCAGTGTCACTTTGTCGCTCCTCCGATGCAGGGGTGGAATCGAGTTCCCCAACCCTGCACCTGGGCTGACCTTCTATGTTAGTTTTCTATTACTATGTAACAGACATATGTACTATGTTGCAGACAACAATCTTAGTGACTTCAAACAACCCTCATTTATTCTCTCACAGTTGCTGCAGGTCAGAAGTCAAGGAACAATTTCCTGAGTCGGGGTCTTAGAAGACCAAAACCAAGTTTCAGTGGGGCTGCTGTCTCAGCTGAAGCCCAGGCTCCTCTTCCAAGTTCTCTGGATGTTGACAAAATTCAGGTCCTTATGAGTGTAGGACGGAGACCCTCAGCCACTGGAGGCTGCCTGCCCACTGTCACCTGCCATGTGGCCCCCTGCACAACCTGGCAGTTTGCTTCTTCAAGGACAACAAGAAAGCTTTTCTGCTGCTTTGAATATCTTCCCTCAGGAAAGGCCTGGATCCCCTTTTGAAGGGCTCACGTGACTAGGTCAGGCCAGGGTAATCTCCTTTTCATTAACTCACAGTCAACTTACTACCCGTCACCATGGAGTCCATGGAGTCACGAGGACCCCATGTGTTAGCAGAACGACCCCATAGGGCTTTCTTGGCTGTAATCTTTACAAAAGCAGGTTACCAGACCTTTCTTCCCTGGCACTGCCAGGTAGGTTCAAAGTACTACCTTTCAGGCTAGTGGTCAGACACAAATGATTGAGCCAGCAGGGAAAATCCCTTTAGGTTTGCCATCGAATGTGACCTAATCATGGGGGTGGATCTTGAGGGCCATCTCTGAGTTCTCGTACCACACCTCATGGCTCGCTCTGACCACCTCACATTCTATCGGTCAAAGCGAGCCACCAAGCGTGGTGGGACCCCACCGTCTATCAGTCCCAAATCACACGAGCCACCGAGCGTGGTGGGACCCCACCGTCTATCAGTCCCAAATCACACGAGC